CTTTTGCCCCACGCACCACTGAACTCTGACCCTCTGATGGACTCTCCCACTCCCCCCCCTCCCAAATACACACACACACACACTGTCACTTTAATCAGTCTGGAATAAGCTCTTTTGCACTACAAATCTTTTTTTTTTTTTGCACTACATCACTATATCTGCACTGTTGTTTACTTTACTGGTTTGCACTCTATCCTCCATATGCCTTGTGCTTTATATATATATATTTTTACATTTTACCTTATTTGTATAGTTGTATTTTGTATAGTTGTATTTTGTATTTATGTTATCTGTATGCACCCAAGGGTCTGAGAGTAACGCAATTTCAATTCTCTGTGTGTATGTGCTGTACATGTGGAAGAATTGACAATAAAGCAGACTTGACTTGACTTGATTTGATTTGCTGCTAGAGCTACTGCTGCCCTAAAAAGAAGAAAAATGGAGACTTCATTTAACCTGAATCTGTAATTACATTTTTTATATTTAACTTTATCTTTTAATCACAGTACTCTTGCAAAATATTTTAATTGTATATATAATTTTACATATAATTGATTGGGTTATTTACATATATAATTGGTTGGGTGATTGGGTTATTAAATTATGCAGTTTGAAGCAAAAACAAAATGTTCTGCCAACTTAGTGAAATCATGCTATGTAAAAAATCCCTAAATAAAACAAAAGCATCAGACGGATTGGATGAGAAAGCAAATTCACTCTCTGACAGCAGGTGGCGCTTATGGAACAGCAGCGAAATAGTTTAAGCACAAGTTTAAGTTTTGTGCTTTCCACACAAATTACATTTTGGAAAGTGATTGCAGTGCAGTTTGTGCAAGTTCAGAACAGAGATTGGTTGAAATAAAACAAAAAGTGGCCAATTGCTGATCGTGTAATGTCCAGGGGTTCTAAAACGGTGACATTTTCAAATTTCGGTATACCTTGAAAGCCGGTAATCGGTCTATGCTTACTATGAATGAGGATTGCCATTGGGATTGCTTCCACTTCAAGATGAGACTCACAGAGACTGGGCTAAATAAAATGGATTAAGAAAAGTTTGAAGGGCATAGGTTTGATTTTTGACATTTGTGGGGATATAACTGCAGTCGCTGGATATTGGTAGAGACATCTAGCATCCCTACTAAATTTAAGGGTATATGTAAGAGAAAGTAATTTTCTAATAGCCCAGTGATAGACTGGCCATTTGTCCAGAGTGTGTCCCTGCCTTCCACCCGAGATGCTGGGATAGACTCCAATATCACCATGACCCTACACAGGACAAGCAGTTTGGTGAATGGATGAATGGTTATTTTGTAATGTTTTTTTTTCTCCACACACAGGTGTTCCTTTCATTTCTCAGACTTGGTTTAATCCATGTAGGCTATTTGTTAAGTATGACAACATGCAACACTGTTTCCGGGTCCAAATGCTCTATCAGAAGAAAACAATAAATGGTGCTAATATACAGTACACTCAAGGTGTGCTGTAATATTACAGAAAATTCATAATCCTAACCTTTATCTCCATATAATGAAATCTCAGATCGCCAGACAGTGATCTATTATTTATGAATTGTTAAAATATGGGTTGGGTTGGTGTCTAGGGTGCCATGAGCCTGGAGACTGTAGTGTATACCATTCGTTTTCCAAAGCTTAGCCTAAATGTGTGATTTGAATAAATAGTGTTCATAAACGGCGGTTGAGATATTCTCAGTTGAAATGAGTAGTCCCAGAAACAGCATTCCTCAAGTCATGGCTTAACAAGTAGATAGAGGTTTAGGCCAGCCAGCACCTATTAAAGTAAATCTCTGCACTAATGTGCATTTCAGGAGCTAATTCTTATGCAAGGCTTGCTTTAACACTTACACAAGTGCATTAATTGATATGTCTCCAAATATTCACATTTCAGCAGTTAGGTGCCAGTGTTAATTACACTTTTTACATTTAATTTATTTTTCCTTTTATTATCATTTGTTATATCTACAGTTCTAAGATTCTGTGATTGATCATGTTTGTTTGTTTTTTTGTAGCACCATTTGTAAAGAATAATAGAAGCAGAGACCAAAGCGAGGAACAAGCACAGCAAATCAAAGAAATAAGAAAATACAGAAATCGCAGAATGATGATTTCTCTGATGAGATAATAGCATTGGTCAAGGATGCTAGTTTTACAGAGAGAGAGAGAGAGAGAGAGAGAGTGTGTGTGTGTGTTTGTGTGTGTGTGTGTGTGTGATCAACATTCAAGACTGGTCTATTTATGCATTTTTAATGTGCATTAGTGTGGATGTCTGTCCATGCGCATGTGCAGGGTTAATTGTGCATTATTAATATTTGTCCATGCCAGACAAAGCTTGTGTTACTCTACATACACAATTGGAACATGTCTGCACCTAAAATATGAATGACTTTTCTTTAACTGTTACAACTAGAGAATTTTCTTGAATGTAAAGAATGAAATAAACAAAGAAGAATATTAAACATTCAAACAACTAACGTTCGTGCAGTAACTGTTACCCACATATTAAGTTGAATGTAGAACATGAGCCCATTTGCCAACAAATACAAGATTATAGGAATTAATGTTTGAAAAAAAAAGAACAATCAGTAACTAATGGCGCTTTTCCACTGCATGGTACGGCACGGTACGGCTCGGTACGGTTCACTTTTGGGGGGTTTTCCACTGGGTACAGTACCTGGTACCTGCTACTTTTTTTAGTACCACCTCGGTTGGGGTTCCAAGTGAACAGTACCGTTACCAAAACGTGACGTGTAAACTCTGCTGATCACGGATTGGCCAGAGAGAACCGTCACTACCTGCGTCACTGAATTTGCGCAAAAAGTTTTGTTGTCTGTTGCAGAAGAACAGATGGCAGAGGAGCTTGATGGGGCGACGTGGAATGAAAAAGTTTTTTTTAGGAGTCGTGGTAGTAGAGGCGGCGCAACTATAATGACATGTGAATAATCCCGCCCACTCTAAAGGGGTACTGAACTGCAGTGGAAACGCAAACCGTGCCGAGCCGAACCGTGCCGTGCCGTACTGAGCCGTGCCGAGCCGAGTCATACCACGCAGTGGAAAAACGCCATAACTGGTCTTTTGACACATAGTGTTAGCTAATATGAAATATCAGTTCATTACATCTTTAAGGTGTAAACGGTCTAGGTTGCCTTGGCCATAACAAGGATACTCATGAGGAAAACCATGATGAAAAACACCCACATGAAGAACCTGTCCATCACCTTGGCAACCTTATTCCACTCTGCCCCTTTGGCCTGGTGTGCCCTCTGCTCTCTGAAACAGTTAGCTATGTACTCAATGTCCCTCACCACTTTCTGATGTTGGCCACAGATGCATACACATCCTGTACCAGTGGTGGTCTTATTGTAACTATCTGCTCCAAAGGTTTTGCTGTAGCTATTATCGTGGTGATACCCAACTCCATTGAGATAACCATTGCCATGATCGTAGGTGTATCCAGTAAGTTTTTCTGGAATGGAAAGTTTACTATCTTTGAGTTTCTCCTGGCTTGTCAGTGGGAGCTTTTCACTTCCATCTCGGCCAATGTATTGTATGTATTTTGGATGATGGGCATTCTGTCGAATAGGGGAATTTGAAGATGAGTGGGTCCTCCTTTGCTGGTTATGCCTTTTTTGTCGATAGTCACAGTTATTGTGATGGTACCCATTCCCATGCCGGTGGTCTCTGTGATTGTACCCATTAAACTGACTGCGGTTTCTGTCATCATGGTGACAGTCTCCATAAAACCCTTTGTCAAAATACCCATCTCTCTCAAGGCTGGCCAGTGGGTCTTCAGAGAACAATGTGCCTCGGTCACTTTCAGGTGTGGTACAGTTCTCCCCTACCTCATACACAAAGAAGATCTTCGACATGTAGTCTATTATCAGGACTTTGGCCCAGTGGGGCACAGGTTTGGCTTCTGCTCCACAGAAGTGTATATTCATGATAAAGATAGTCAAAGATGTAGAGGCCGTTATCATGGTCATTGTTGCAATGTAGTATTTTCCTATAGGAAAGCCAAACAAGGGATAAATAACAGAGGCTGTCAATGCTTATGACAAAGGATAAACAATAGACATTGTTTTTCTTTGCATGACACATTATATTTGAACATATAAATAAAAATGATAGGATACTTATTATTTGTGATAATTTAGTGACACAATCTTAATGTTATTAAATGATGAAATGAATAAAATGTTCTATTGTCTATATCACCCAGCCTCAGCCAGAACCACAAATCATTCATTTCCAATTGAGTCTTACTGAGGCTGTGATGTGTAATATGTACTCTGCGTTTACTTCACTTCACAAACTGATAGTTAATTGCAACATCCACTAGGGGGCCAATTGAGCCGTGAGTAATGTATTTAAAGCTGCAGTCCGTAAATTTTGCCTCTTTGTCTCCATCTCTGTTAGAAAACCTGCAATTGCAGCTGATGCGGAATTATCTTCCTTGCATGGGTTGTGCGCTGGTGGTGTGCCTATTTTCGACCACCTGCCAAATTATTACCCCTCTCGTTGAAATCGCTATCTGATTGCCTAATCCTAACCTCACCCCAATCCTAACCCCTCCCCCACACCTAACCCTAAACCTACCAATACTAGGGGGGTAATAATCTGGCAGGGGTCAGAATTGGGTACAACACTGGCACGGCTCCAGCGCGGATTGATCTAATGTTTTGAAGAGTATGTGTGGCAGTCAGTCACCACACCAGTGTGGATATTTACTGTACTTCGCAATCACAGATTCTAGCCTACGTTTTGGAATATATGACCCAAATATTTATTTTCACCGTATATTGTCATCTGAACAAGTAAGTAACAAGTCTGCCACGTTTGTTCTGACCAACTGAGGAAAAAAGTATTACAATAAATTGCGTTATATGGTGATTTAATCTAAAACACGTTTGTTCTGACCAACTGAGGAAAAAAGTATTACAATAAATCGCGTTATATGGTGATTTAATCTAAAAATCGTTTAGCTCATATCTACGGTGGCCGAGAGAGCTCAACGCGCTGCAACTTAAGAAAACACATGTTCTTCATTTGCATGTGTTGTGAGGATTTGCAGAGCGTTTCTTCATTTGCATGTGTTGTGAGGATTTGCAGCGTTTCTTCATTTGCATGTGTTGTGAGGATTTGCAGCGCGTGTGTTGTCAAACTGATGAAGATGTTTTCTTAATTTGCTGGTGTTTTTTCAATTTGCATGTGTTTTCTTAAGTTGCAGCGCGTTGAGCTCTCTCGGCCACCGTACATATCACATCAAACCGTGCAAATTATTATTATTGTTATGCTTTATTCTCAAAATATTAATGTTAACAACATCAGCATTGCGTGACTATGAGAATAGTCTGTAGATTTTAATTTCTGTACAGTCTAATCTCTAATTGTCATACCATTCGAATTTCATATTAAGAAATTCTTTTAACCCAAAAAGCAAATTATGCTCCCTTCAAACTGGTTGTCTTTAAAATACAAATCTTAATCCCAGGCTATCTGTTATCAGAAGCACATTTAAAACTGCAATATAATTTAATTTCATTCACATGCAGGGCCGTACCCACCATTGAGGTCCCCTCTGTATTTTTCCAATAAGAGAAGTTGTAAAATAATTACATATTCTGCTTTGGTGCTGCAAGGATAAAAAGCCAAGATAACAGATCTTCTAATCTGAGATGCCTCAGCAGGGTTGTGCGTTATATATTGTCTGCGATAATATCATAATTGTTGTTTTAACGATGTGCGATTTGACATTTGACACCATTGTATATTCACAATTGCAATGTTTATTTTATTAATATTTATTTATTTATTTATGATGTGAAGAGGAGTTTATTGTGCACAGTCATCTATCAATTATCACCACTTAAGCCACCAGAGAAAGCACGCTCTGTGGGTTACCATGGTGATGCGTGTTGTGTTTTACTGTGGAAAGACACTGAAGTTTGCGTGTGCTTTTGTTTCTCCTGATAATTCAGGTACTTTTAATCTGCCTACGTGTTCCGCGGCCGGGACCCGTAACACAAAAGCCATTCAAAACACCAGTACAGAGTGCACAAGTACATTACATGAAGTCTGAGCTAGTGCGTGTGCGCATCAGAGTGTGTTCTTTCACGGCATGATTCGGTCTATTAAAATTAATTTAGAATGATCACAAATTAAGACATGGGGGCAGAAAATGTATTTATTTTATACCACTTCATATAGTTAATCAATTTCACACGAAGAGTGCAGTTTTTCTCCAAAAATTACCATGTTATATTGATATTTTACAACAGCTCAATAAACAAGTTCATTAAGAGACTAACGTTTTAGACAGCATACTGCCTGTTTTTGCTCTATTTCGCCAAATATAATAATTCCAAACACAGCCACAGCACAGTTTTGCATCTCTGAGCAACATGAAGGTGTTTTGATCCTGAATGAATCAACTGTTAAAATGATTCGGGTCAATCGCAATGACTCAATTACAGTTTTTTTCCAATTGTTTACACGCAATTTTGAACACCGGGTTCTTTTTTTCACAATACAAGCGCAATTATCCAAACACCACACTCAATTTGCATAATTCCTACATTGTTTGCAAAATTACACACTTCAGTCTATTAAAATTAATTTAGAATGATCACAAATTAAGACATGGGGGCAGAAAATGTATTTATTTTATACCACTTCATATAGTTAATCAATTTCACACGAAGAGTGCAGTTTTTCTCCAAAAATTACCATGTTTTATTGATATTTTACAACAGCTCAATAAACAAGTTCATTAAGAGACTAACGTTTTAGACAGCATACTGCCTGTTTTTGCTCTATTTCGCCAAATATAATAATTCCAAACACAGCCACAGCACAGTTTTGCATCTCTGAGCAACATGAAGGTGTTTTAATCCTGAATGAATCAACTGTTAAAATGATTCGGGTCAATCGCAATGACTCAATTACAGTTTTTTTCCAATTGTTTACACGCAATTTTGAACACCGGGTTCTTTTTTTCACAATACAAGCGCAATTATCCAAACACCACACTCAATTTGCATAATTCCTACATTGTTTGCAAAATTACACACTTCAGTCAAAACATACACATATGTGAAAATGCTATTAGTTTTCATTTAACCAACACAGTCCTCAATGATCAGAGGCCATTGCAGCCAGTTTCACACTGCTGTGATAAATAAAAAACACATTTGTACAAAAACTAATTTTAGGAAATAGCATGTGCTAGATTTTTGGCCACACATTATGTAAGGGATAATTTAGATGGAGAAAAAAAATAAAAACCCACAACATTCTTCATGATTAGTTTGAGATAGGGAGAATGTACACAAATTGGCCTACTATAAAGTTACCAAGCACTGCACAACACTGATGCTGCAGACTGAATATTTCAAGTATTTATTTCAATACTTACAGTATTTCTTACCATAATCAGTTACAGTAATCAACCAACAATGAAACAAATAAAATCTGTAGACAAATAAAAATTACTGCATGAAGTACATACACTTTGACTCTGAAGAAAAACTACTGTAAAAGCAACAAGAATACTGTAACTATTCATCATCTCTCCGTCTGGCTGGATCAGGCCATAAGATTTCATCCACATCACAGGCTATGTCTTCATTGGCAAGGCACCGTTGGAAGAATCGCCTCATGTGACGAATCCACCCCTGCACAGAAGCTGCTTCGATATGATCACAGGCCTGCTCCATGGCCTGAATGAGGGGCAAACGGTCATAGGGCCGCAGGTCGTATACCTTCCACCACCATGCTGAAAAAAATTCTATTGGATTCAGGAAGGGGGAGTATGGGGGAAGGTATAAGACTTCAAATTCAGGGTGCTCATTGAACCAATTGTGGACCAGAGCAGCCCGATGGAATGAGACAGTGTCCCAAATGACAATGTACAGCATCTGGTCCACTTGGTTGAATGCTGTGACAATCTCGTGCAATCTGTCAAGAAATGCAAGTATTAGATTTGCATTATAGGGTCCCAGATTTGCATGGTGGTGGAGGACCCCATTTTGTGTAATAGCAGCGCAAAGGGTGATGTTACTCCCTCGCAGCCCTGGCACATTGGTGATCGCCCTGTGTGGTGATTGCCCTGTGTCCAATTACATTTCTCCCTCTTCTTCTGGTTTTCGCAAGGTTAAATCCAGCCTCATCCACATATAAATTCATGTTGAATTTCTGCAGCATCCATTTGCAAGACGCTCTGAAACACAGTAAAAGACAATAGGATGTTATTCAATATCTATTGCACAGTATTTTTTTGAGCCAGAACATTATGAGCAGTACACAATACCACACCATAGTAAGATGAACAATACATACCTCCACATACTCATTGCGCAGATGTTTCACTCTCTCTTAATTTCTGTCAAATGGTACCCGATACAGTTGCTTCATGTATATTTGATTTTTCTTGAGGATTCGACCTAATGTTGACAGAGAGACTCGTTGGATGTTATTGAAAATATGGTCATCATTGATGATATTGGCTTGGATTTCTCGCAGCCTGATACAATTATTGGTCAAAACCATGTTCACAATGGCAGCCTCTTGTGCACGAGTGAACATAGGGCCCCTTCCACCTTGGTGTCCTCTACCCTCAATCCTATGTAAAAAATAAAAATAAAACTAATACACATCCAGCCTACTGTCAAATGTCACAGTAAACAATATTGATGATAAGTACAGCAAGCTTCAGTTTCAATGTACTGTGTGGTTAGCTTACTTGTTTTCTCGATGAAATGTCCGAATTACTGACGCAACAGTATTTCTGCTGAGATTTGGTTGAACTCTTTGTCCAGCTTCCATCAGTGTCAGTCCATGGTTGATAACATGGTCAATAAGTGTTGCACGGATTTCTTGAGTCAAATTTGGTCCTCATCTTCTTTGTTCAGGTTCTATCAACTCTTCAAGTCCTTCTCTACCTCTTCCTCTACCTAGGCCTCTTCCTCTATCTCCTTCTTCTCCTCTTCCTCTACCTGGGCCTCCTCCTCTACCTCCTTCTCCTCTTCCGCTACCTCCTTCATCTCCTCTTTGAGCTCCCCCTCTCATTCTCACTCTTCTTCTTCTTCTTCTTCTTCTTCTAGCTCCTTCCATTTTTGTTGAAGACAGGTGAACTCACCTGCTGCCTTTTATAGCACACCTGAGTGCTGCGTTTTCAAATTAGCACATGTGTGCTTCCACACCTGGTGGATGTGGTTATCCAATTCGTTCATTAGTGTGGTCATTGGCAAACCTCACAATCCTTATCTGTGTCTAAGGTGTGAAAATGTGTGTAGAGTTTTACAAATCACTGTGTGTAATGTTTTGCAAAAAGGGTGAAGCAGACATTGTGTGTAATGTTGTGCAAATCTGTGGAGGTGTTTTGCTCATTGGAGTAGAATTTTGCAAATTGTGTGGAAATTTTTATTTTAGTGTGTAATCAATCATAAAAAACTGAAACAGTGATTTGCTGCCACCTATTGGTGGTTTTAATTTCACATTTCGACTATTTTTTTAGATTTTTGTGTTCATGTTTTAAATCACTTCAAATAACAGTATTCAATGTTTCATGTTTAATATATCAAAACATTATTTATGCATTTGTAATTGCAGGTTAAATGCATTCATGTCTTGCATTAAACAGTGTGTAAATAAATCTAAATGCCACTTCAGATGCAGATTCTGTGTTGATTGAATTTGCTTGGTAAAAGCCCAAATGTCTTATTATTCTAATTCACTGATTAAATCTAAGAATTTGACTCAAAAGGTTATGGACACTTTTAGAAAACAAATGGCTTTATAAAGGTAAAAATGCCCATAAAATTTAAAAATCAGTTTAAACTTATTGGAAAAGATTAATTTCTATTAGTGTGAATAAAAAAGAAAAAAAACTTTTAGAAAACAAATTTTAGACACGTGATTTTACTGAAGGCTATCAGGATAATTATAACTGAGTTTATTAAATTCTTAAACATAAACAAACTATATCTTCTCTATTTCCAGTTTGTAGCGTGGATCATTCATTGCAATGTTTAATCTGATTCTCATGTTTAAGAATCTGTTATCTTGAAAAATACTGTAAAAATAACCACTGACTTGGTTTTAAACCTAGATTATTATCCAATTTATGAGCCTTAAAACATCCTAAAATGCATACATGTAGGTCAGGAAAATCAATTTCCAGTTTGTAGCGTGGATCATTCATTGCAATGTTTAATCTGATTCTCATGTTTAAGAATCTGTTATCTTGAAAAATACTGTAAAAATAACCACTGACTTGGTTTTAAACTAGATTATTATCCAATTTATGAGCCTTAAAACATCCTAAAATGCATACATGTAGGTCAGGAAAATCACAATTTTCTTGGTGGAGCATGCCCTACCAATTTCGATTTTGGGACCTCTGTATTTATAAAAACCTGCATACAGTCCTGTTCACATGTGTTTCATAAACACATAGTCCTTTCTGCATTACAATCCGCTATCAACTATGCTATCACCGCTATGTTTTGAACACTGGCTGGTTATGTACTTGCTCAAATATTGATTTCGGATTCATTTAAAAAAAAGTTATGGACTGCAGCTTTAACCATAGTGACAATGACAGAAGTCTAGAAGTTGAGTCCCTTTACAGCATATGGTTGTCACTTTTGTTTATATCCAAATTGTATAAACAGAACCACATTTAGCATTTTAACAGAATTGACAATATTCTCTAGCCAGAGAGAAATAAAAAGAAAGAGAGAGTAAATCCAAATATTTCTAAATTCTGCTCTACTGTAGACTCACCAATTAGGGGAACGCTTTCTGAAGGTGGCATACTCTCAGCCACCATCAGCTGAAATACAGTCAGAGCCAGCAGAACCGTCACCCCCAGTGAGACCTTCTCCCCTGAATCAGCAGGCAGGTAGAAACCCAGTGGAGCCAGGAAAGAGATGAGGAAGCACGGCAGAAGAAGGTTGAAGATGTAGAAGGCAGAACGCCGCTTGAGCAGGACTGTGTACGTTATGTCAGGGTACGGGTCAGAGCAGCAGCCATACATTATGATGTTCTTAATGGCTGGCATGCCGTGACACTCCCATTCCACGTTTTCCACAAAGTCTGAAAGGTCACCACTCTCCATGCCCATTCTGATATCCACCTGGGTTACAGTGATGGGATTTTTAGTACGGGACAAATTCACAGTTCCAAAACTACCATCTGTATAACAGGGTTTCATTTACATTACATATAGATATCTATTTATATATATAATTTTAATGTATAATGATTTCTTCTTTAAAAGTTCCATTTATTTTTGTTATATTTTTTATGAGGAGAAATGAGGTTCCCATGCATGAAGATGACACAGCGGTCCAGCCACCATACATTATATACAACTGGTAATATTCCTCCTTACTGTGTTTTTGTAAGTATTCTGATTTCACTTCATAATCTGTGGATTTTGAGGACGTACTGACTAACAGCATACACCTACAATATATTCAGTGAATATCAAGCTTTTTCATTTACTGTTACATTTATTTCATCCTTTTGTTGAAGGGATAGTCTAGCCAAAAATGAGAATTCTGTAATCATTTTCTCACCCTCCACAGGTCTGCATTCCTGCGGCTTTAAATTCCCGAATAAAACGCAGTAGCGGTCGGTAACTCTGGTGTAATTTGAACAGGAGCAGGCGGTCTAACAATATCCTGTTCCCGACGTCCATTCAGAACAGAATATCTGCGCTTTATTCTTATTGGCCACCGGTACAGCCTGCACTCAGTGTTGCCAGACTGGATGGACGATTTCCAGTCCAAAAGCTCACAAAAACCCCCCCACTCCAACAAAAAACCGCCCCAAAACTTTAACTGTCAAAACAATGTGATAGAATATGTTTATCAAGGTTGAAAAGAGCCGTTTTAAACTCCTTAAAACAAAATAATGACGATAAAATAATATAAATATAACATTAGATAAATTTACCATAGATCAAATCGGGGCAAATACATTAAAGAGAATTATCAAATATGATTAAAATATGCAAGCAGACACTGTCAAATTGGCAATCAAGAAATTAATCGATACCCTCAAAAAAACACATGCATCATTTTCAATGTCAACAGTCAGAATTTAAATGCAAAAAAGTGCCCAATATAAGTGATCGGAAAAAACAACATAATTAGTTTTTTTACTCTCATTTATGCACACACCATGACAGTAAAAATCATTTCATTCATTGATGCATAACCTACTGTATGATAATCCGACAAAAATTTGTGTCGCTCTATAATTTCACACAGAAGTAGAGGAAGTCTTTCGTGAAGTTCTTATTGTAGAACATTACAGAACTTTGCACAGTCAAAACTAACAAGTCCAGCAGCTGTCAATCTGGACTGTTTAAAAGATAAAAGACAGGATTATATAGATATAAATAGATTCACGCTTTGATAATTCACAGTGCATGACTGTCATATCACACTATAGAGACTGTGTCTGTTCCCCGAACTAGAAAATACAAAAAACGTAAATGATATGATCACTGATCATAACCTAGATGTGCTCTGTTTGACAGAAAGCTGGCTAAAACCTGATGATTACATTATTTTAAATTAGTCTACCCCCCAAGATTCCTGTTATAAACATCCAAAAGGTAAAGGGGGAGGTGTTGCTTCAATTTATAACAATGTTTTCAGTATTTCTCAGAGGGCAGGCTTCAATTATAACTCGTTTGAAGTATTGGTGCTTCATGTAACATTATCCAGAGAAGCACATGTTAATGATAGATCCCCTGTGATGTTTGTACTGGCTACTGTATACAGGCCACCAGAGCCCCATACAGACTTTATTAAAGAATGTGCTGATTTTATATCCGAGTTAGTGCTGGCTGCAGATAAAGTTTTAATTGTTGGTGATTTTAATATCCATGTTGATAATGAAAAAGAGGTATTGGGATCAGCATTCATAGACATTCTGAACTCTATTGGGGTTAGACAACATGTCTCAGGACCTACTCATTCTCGAATTCATACTCTAGATTTAATACTGTCACATGCAGCCAAGCGATGATATCTCAGATCATTATTTAGTCTTGTGCAAACTTCATATAGCTAAAACTGTAAATTCTACTCCTTGTTACAAGTATGGTAGAACACTCACTTCTACCACAAAAGACTGTTTTGTAAGTAATCTTCCTGATTTATCCCAATTCCTTAGCATATCCAAAACCTCAGAACAACTTGATGATGTAACAGAAACTATGGACTCTCTCTTTTCTAGCATTTTAGATACAGTTGCTCCTTTACGCTTAAGGAAGATAATGGAAAACAGTCTGACACCGTGGTATAATGAGCACACTCGCACCCTAAAGAGAGCAGCCCGGAAAATGGAGCGCAGCTGGAGGAAAACAAAACTAGAGGTATTTCGTATTGCATTGTAAGTAACCAATCCTACAGAAAAGCATTAAAAACTGCTCAATCTGATTACTTTTCGTCTCTTTTAGAAGAAAATAAACATAACCCAAAGTATTTATTCAATACAGTGGCTAAATTAACGAAAAATAAAGCATCAACAGGTGTTGACATTTCCCAACAGCACAGCAGTAATGACTTTATGAACTACTTTACTTCCAAGATAAATACTATCAGAGATAAAATTGTAACCATGCAGCTGTCAGCTACAGTATCGCATCCAATAGTGTGCTATAGATCGCCTGAGGAACAATTCCACTCATTCTCTACTATAGG